AAAACGCTCATCCTGAATAGTTTAAAGCATTCTGGCCTTGAAACAAAATAGCAATGTTTTGCTACATGTTATACTGTGTTGTTATTTTCTTAAGCAGTTGTGATTTAGGAGAGGAGTATTCATTATGTTTTAAGAGGTATTGGACGAGGTTGTCCTCTTTCTGGGCAATTATTCAGCTTGTTATTGAGACACTTTTATGCAGTCTGTGGAGGGACCTCAAAGGAATTTTAATTGCAATGGAAGTAATAGAAACGAAGTGTCCTTATCCACTTATGCTAATAACAGCAGGTTTTATTTCATTCCAGAGGATATCTCAGCTCTGAGCCTGTCTGAAACTATTTGAAAATGCAGCAGCTTCTTGTGACACACTCAAAACTATCTCTAAATATAATTCTTTTTATTGTCCAATAATTGTTTCCTTACATCAGCGGCATCAAGCAATTTACTTATAGTTTATTTGTTGTGGGGAGACACCATTCCCAATCGTGGTTCAGTTTTTTGCTTAGGTGACTAGAAGACACATCTGCAAAAAAAAAAAAAGCAAAAACAAAACAAAACAAAAAACACTTTTTCAGAACTTTGGACACTGCAAGTGTAAGATGTCTGGTGAGGGTGTATATTTCGTGTACCATGTAAGTTTAATAACTTCTTTTTTGTTGAGAGAAAGTTTTGATAACCATGAGACAAAACATTTGTTTACATCATTATGATAAACTTACTTCATTATGATAAATACTAATTCTGTCTCAATTAACATCATTTTATTTTTACCATCCATTACATCATCTTACAATATTAAAGATGTAAGACCACAAACTTTGATTTCAAATAAACTTTCTCCACCCAATCCTCCTTTTGTAATGAATTAGACACTGAAAAAAAACATTTTAGTCGACAATTCTCTATTTATTTATTTATTACATTTAATTCATTTATACAATTTATACAATTTGATGTGTAATTCACTATGTTCAGGATGTCTTGTGCTAATATAGATACTCTGCAGTAACTCTCTCCTGCTCTCATCATTCAGTGAAAAAATATTAAGAAAACACACATAAATAGACATGATTGGAGATATTTTAATTTTTTCAGTAATTAGCCCTACTGAAATGCTACATTTCATTACCACAAGATTAACAGTAGCCACTCGCTTTTCATTTAGTTTGCCCTCTTCTCGAGCCCTCTGTTGTTTAACGGACCATATCAGGAACGACAACTGGCCATTGCAAGGCTGTAGCCTATATCACACCATGGCCTGTCATTTTAAACAATGGAGCATTTAGTACATAGTGAGCAGCTAATTATGGTTGCCGCTTTCCAAGAAGTGTATTAATGTTCTCTTTCTACATGGATACATCTAATACTTCACATCAATGAAGTGAAGCCATATACTGTAGAAGGAATAATAAAATGAGCTTGGAGACAATCATGGAACTGTTTACTCATTAATGCTGAGATCCTCTTTAAGCACAAAATGTGGTCTTGCTTTCACTATTCTGTATATAGATCAGTAGTGTGCTGTATAGCCTATAGATCACTTGTATACTGTTCTTTCACTGTTCTATCACTGTTCTACATGTAGAACACTATTCTGCTCTGTCACTGTTTTTTAAGTAGAACACTACTGTGCTCTGTCACTATCAGCAAATGGAATACTATTGTGTTCTATCATTATTCTACAAATGGAGCGCTATTCTGTCAAACCGTGTCTATGAGCGGTGTGACAAAAAGTCAATAGAACCTATTATAATCAGAGATTCTTTCTACATTGAATGTAAACTGATGGTCCGTTCAATTTCTGACAAACGCCAGCGCTACATCTGACACGAAGAATAACGGGACTTGCAACAGTCACTTTGGCACGTCCAGTGTAGACAACCTCAAGATCTTACGGTGCGATGTGGTCGTGCATGGTGTAGACACGGTGTCATTATTCTGCAAATAGAACACATACCGATCTGTCACTAATTTATAGGTAGAACCCTATTCTTCTTCTCTGTCACTATTCTACACTATTGTGCTCTATCACTGTTTACCACATAGAACACTATTCTGCTTTGTCACTATTCTGTTATGTCACTGTTCTGTAGGTAGAACACTACTCTCTCACTATTCTATATATAGAACACTATTCTGCTCTGTCACTGTTCCACATGTAGGCTAGAACACCACCGTGCTCTGTCACTATTCTACACTTCTGCTCTGTCACTAGGCTACTCTGCATGTGGAACTCTATTTTGCTCCCACACTACTGTTAAAAGAATACTATTTTGCTAGGTCGCTATTCTGCTTGTAGAACACTATTGTGCTCTGTCACTATTCTACAAGTAAAACATAACTGTGCTCTGTCACTATTTTGCATGTGGAACACTGTACACCTAAGCATGTGCTCATTTCTAAAAACGTACTTTAATTAGATTGAATCTGATTGATTAGTCAAAGCTAATCGAACAGAATTCTTTTCTGGGTACTCTGTTCAAATGTTATCCTTACAGATAATACTCTAATCAAGCCAGACCTCCGCAAAACAATTCCCTCTGTTATACTTAGCAGAAATTATGGTGTATTTTTTTTTAGACCGTGTGCTTATAGCGACCCGCAGTGGTGACATTCTGAAACACACACACACACACACACACACACACACACACACACACACACACACACACACAAGTATTTAGACTGGGAGGGGTTTTTTTTTCCAACCACTGTTTTATAGCCTACATAATAGGTCATGGGGTTATTTTTAATAGTATAAGTTATTTTTAGTAATACGCCCAGCAAGTTAAATGTAGGTTGCGACTGACGTCATAGCTGACAGAATCTGCGTTTTTGATTGTAACAGGTAGGTTTGGTCACTTTAAGATGTAGCCTATAGCGTATAGCTATATATTTTAATTTCCTCTAAAATAATGTTAAAAAACTAAGCGTACTTATATCTGTTTTTGAACATTTACATGTTTGAGAATTCATGTGTAGTCAAGGTGCAAGGCAAATATTTTATTTTTACTTGATGGTGCATTGGTTCATTCGTACATGTACAAGTTTTTGTTTATTCACATTATCACAATTAAGATATCTTTAATTAAACCTTATAATAATTTTCATTAACAAGGTATTATGTATAGGCCTAGGCTGTATTTGGAAGATTCCAAATGACATAACAAAAATTGTAGTTAGTAACCAATTACATTACACATTTTAGGTAACATAATCAGACTACTTTTAGATTACTTTTTACCTAACCGTTTATCACATTGATTTAAATAGGATAATCTTGTACCATATTGATATAAAAATGCAAAGAAAAAGAAAATGTATTCAATTCATTGTTATTAACAACATAAAGTGCATTAAACATTACATTACGTCAAGGTTTACCAAACTGGGGTTTGTGAAGGAACTGCAAGGGGGTTTGTGAGTTTAATGAAAAGCTAATAATTAATTAAATCATAAAAATCATAAAAATGTTAAATTAAAATTTTAAAATAAAATGAATCAAAATAAAACACTTGCTAAAAATTGAAATATTGAATTTGTTTACCTGCATGTCATGTTTAGTGTTAATCAAATGTGTTACTTGATTATGAACCTATTACCTTAATCTCAGGGGTAGTTCACTAGGCTATATTGGGCAAAAGAGGTTTTACTGACAAAAAAAAGTTTGTGAATCCCTGCATTAAATGTGTGCATTTTAATGTGTTTGAAAGACAAAAGTCTTCCCAAGACAGTAATACATGGTTAGTAACCTACTTCAGTAGATTTGTGATAATTCAAATAAACATTCATGTTTTTCATCTGTAGTTGATGCAATTTTGCAATGTTGAGGTAACACTTCTTAAAACTGAAATGATTTCTGTAAACCCAGTGATCAAATGCTGTGGCCTCTCAATTTTGTGTTTAATTAGCCACTTGACTAGTGACTGGTCTTTGTGTGAATGTCCAAAAAAACTGGAGGACTTTCTGAATGTATAGTCTATTAGCGCTCGGCTATTTTAGAAAGGAATATTTAAGGGGAGACACTGCAGGCAAAAACACTGTTTTTTCATGCACCTGTCAAATTTGAGATTTTGGGCTTTTTGGTTTTTCATAAAGTGTTTTTTCAGACTAGTGGAAAGAAAACATCCAAAAGACACTGTTAATTGTTTCTTTTATAGCACTTTATCTATTTGTGTCAATAGATTTCAATTACAATGCATATTTTTAAAGGCCGTTTTCTCAAAATGAGTTTTTTCTCCTACACTGCGCCATAAATCTCCACTTCAGTAGCACTTACACACACCGAACTTTACATTTTTATTCCTGTCTATATCCTTAAGGGTTTTACAGAGGGATTTGTTCATATATAATTTGCTTGATTATATACAACATTTTATTCCCCCCAAAATTGTGAAAATATAGTGTTTTCTGTCCGTTCTAAGCATTTTCTGAATTATGGAGTGACAAAAATGAGATACCCAAAATTCCCTCTGTAAAAACTTTTGACTCTAATATGTCAAAAAAATTAAACAAGAATTTTGAAACTGACATCATCCAGTATTTCGATTTTTTTACTAGAAATGTATGCAAATTAGCGCACATTTAATTAAATAATGACTCATTTGCATATTTAAACCTAACATTTTAGAAAACTTGTAATACAATTTTTTTTTGCAAGTATCAATGTAATCAATCAGCTGGGTAAGTAAGGCGATAACTATTATTATGTTTATTTTTTTTACCCTATTCACCTGCAGTGTCCCACCTTAAAAGATGAAAAAGAGGAATTAGGGAGAATCAATAAATTATGAATAATTAGTTGTGTGAGTATCATGTACTAATCAATAAAATACAAAAATACAGTAACTGTAGTCTGATTACGAGTTTTTTTTAAATGTAATTTAATCTAATTACAAGTAGGCTACTTCATTTTTGGAACCTGATTACGTAATCCAGATTACATGTAGCTAATCAGTTACTGCCCAGCTCTCTTGGCAGATACTTTTATACAAAACAAGCACGGTGTCTATACATTATGGGACATTTCACGTGTGTAGACTAGAGGCAGAGGTGAAAAGATATGGCGTTATCTGTGGCGTAAATGCTCGCGCATCTACGCAATTTCCTTGTGTGGGAGAGTGAGAGAGAGATACTCGAAAGCTCTGTTCGCCCATAGCTCACATTACACAAGTAGATATCTGATATTCCGTGCAGGAAAAGTTAGATCAGGTAGTTTGAAAGTTTTCGTGTAGGCTCTATCTACCGGGACCGCACGCGCTCACAGGTGAAATAAACACCGCCGCCGTACATCTTTTCGTCCAGCCATCGTGTAAAGGTCACCAGCGATCATCTCCTATGTTTGAAACAATTGTAATGAACATGACGAGTTTGAAGCCGTTCACCGAGCCGTTTGGTAAGTAAATCCGCTGGTTTGTACCCGGAGAATACATGCGCTTTAATGGACACGAGCAGCAAAATGATGGGACAGTTTTGTTCGGTGAACTTGGTTTTCAGTTTTCTAAATAATGCAGTTGGAAACGACAAGAGGTAAACATTTACAGCCAGGGTAAGGTATTGTGTTAAATATAAGCAGACAATAGGGGACACATCATGGTTTATGTCATATATATATATATGTAGCCTACGTGTGTGTGTGTGTGTGTGTGTGTGTGTATAATTGTTTGAGTTACATCAGATCAGGTGGACTTTCTCTTGCTAAGGCTGCAGTCTGTGGTGTATAAGGATAAAAACTGTATTTCTTTATTTCAAGACTTTCCTGGTGAAGGGGTTTATACTGCAGTATTTGTGTATGTTGCTTCTGTTAGTGTATGGCTGGCCATGCAGAAGAAGATCTGTGCAGAGGGTTTTGCCCTGCAGGATTATAGCATGATGTGGTTTACATCTCTCCAAGTGCATCCCGAGCAAGCAGCTACATGCTCTCTGCATTCCCTGGCTGAGCAGAAACAGTCATGAATGGATTCAGGCTGCGCATGTTTGGATTCGTCTGCAGTACTGACTGGGGCTAAATGTGGCACGTGTAGATTGATCTGTCCATGAGCTTTAGTTTATCTCGCTACTCCTTTAAAGAATGAAACACGATGGATTGTGAAAGAGTAAAGCATTTGGAGCATATACTGATATAAAATTATTTTTTATTTTTTTATTAGTATTGGGTATTTTTGCTGTGGGACAAAATAAGTGAAAATAACTTTCCATAGATAAGATCAGCTCAAGGTGCTAGGCACCCTTTCCGGTTTGATGCTTACATCAGAGTTTGTTGCTTGTTTTTTCCCTGCCTGTACTTTCAGCAGTCATCATGATTAAAATGAAAGGGCAACATCCTGTTTCAGTTGATGGGATTTCTTAGAAAATACCCTATATTTCATGTTCATGCTTTTTTTTCCAAGGACTGTTTTAGTGAACAAAAATAACTTCCTAATTCCTCTACATTGTGCCGTTCATGTGAAGTAGCAGTGGCCGTCAACACACACAACATTTCGAGGTTAAGCTGTCTGGTGTGGGTGAGACTGGGGTGATGATAACCATGCATAATCAAGTTTTTTTCTGTCTGATGTCTGAAGTTGTGTCTCTGCTGTCCCTTTAGCAAATCTCAGAAACATGGAAGTCATGCTTTTTTATGCTTTGCCTCTGAAAAGCAACATAAAAATAATTAGGATATTTATTTCGCGGACACATGGTGTTTTCCAAGTTGTCCCATGTTTCTCACTATTTATCGCAGTTCCTTGCTGTTTTTGTTTTTTCAAATCTATGAATGGTTTGGTTTCGATATTTCACTAGGTAATTGATTTAATACAGTGTACACAACAAGCACCTAACCTGTTTTAATGACTGCTTGTTCATTTATGGAAATGTCATCACAAAAAAATCATCTCAGGTTGTGTTAAAGTGTAACAGAAATAGTGACGCAACATTTCCTCTGCATTGTGACATACATCTGATTGAAACGGATTATCAAAAGAATTGAATAAAATCAAAATAAAACATGAATGTATGAATCGTTCACAGTAAGATCAATAACATTTATTTAGATCATAAGAAAGGGTGGTTTTTATTTAATGCCGACTTTGGTTTTAAAACACTACCATTAAAGTAAAGATATCTGTATTTGAAACTACCACATGCTATTGCCGCCACTGAATTACACACGCCATGCTTCTCTCTCTCACACACATACACACACACTTCCTTCCTGTCACAGTCACTTAGTCATTTTTAGACAATCCTCTCTATTTCTTTATGCTGCTTGTTGATTCCGTAATTGTATACAGCTTCAGAGGACTGTTTATGAACTGCACGACTTTCGAATCTGGCACCCTTAATATGAGGAGCCTTTTTTGCATCTGACAAAACCTTAACAGGTGCTTTTTGTCTTTGAAACTTAGAAATTTAACTGATGGTTTTAGTTCCATGTGTGGATTTTGCTTTTTTTTTTTTAAACCAAACCATCACACTACTCATCCTCATCCGCTTTTCACTTGCTAATATCTATATATTTATATTTAAATATTTTCATTAAGAATTCACAAATCAAAAATAGGTAATTCTGTGCAATGCTGTGTTTCACCTTTGAGGTTTTTGTTTTTTTTGCAGGGAGAGTGGCTTCTGAACCGGTGGAGGACACTGACCCCAGCAGCTTCATTGCAGATATGGTATGATGTTATTATTTTTCCTAATCATACAGTTGATTTATTTATAAGTAAAGGATGTACTTTACTCCTTCAGAAGACTTTGGTACAATGTTATGGATGGATGACGTTGGGTAATACCCACTGACACATCAATTGAATCATATGATGTTTAGTTTTGGTTTGTTATGACACGCTACATGAGTTGTAAACATTGTTGCCTTTCATATTGTGATCAAACGCAACAGATTATGTAGGTTAGAAATGATTTTCATACATGATATGAAAGTAGCATTGAATGAGAGGAGCAGGTTTTGAAACTCACTCTTGTTGTGTGACGCCCTCCACTAAGTCTCAGAGGTTTGTTCTAGCATGTTCTCTGCTCATTTATCCACACATATGAAAGTTTAATTTTCCTCCCTTCGCTACACTGTACACACCCCCTCTCTTCAAATGTGTCCCAACATGTAGAAAGAGGAACAAAGGTGAATTGTTTTCCTCTGAGGTCTTGATTTAGATGTGTGTGATGTGATGTGATGTGATGTGATGTGATGTGATGTGATGTGATGTTTGACCTCTGGGGGTCTTTACTGATGTTTTTGTGTGTGTGTTTTAGTCTCTGAGGTCAAATTACCCTGTTCAGGTCACTGATCCACAAGGTATCAGAGGTATTTATTGTTTATTTACGTTGTTGCTGCTTGTATTGGTAGTGATAATGTGTAAAATCATACAATGAATGTTAGGTTTATTTAAACAATTCCACTGATCTCAGTAGGATGATTCTTAGGTGATGAGAATGGTGACCTTTTGGTCAGCCTCCACACTTTCCATATAATCATGTTCAATAGGACATGTAGACATAAAGTGTTAATAAAAGATCAACGGGTTTATTCACAGAAAGTTGATCTCTGATACTCTACAGATCCTGTAACCCTGCAGCTCAGCTCTGTTCCCCCTGGATATCTGTTGTCAGCGGTAGACAGGATACGACAGGTGATTCTTTTATTTCTTCGTATCTTCATCCTCTGGAAACGAGTTGGGTCTGATCACTTTCTATCATTATTTGCTGAAGTCACGTAGCATTTCTGACGACATCCTTATTTATAGATTCAGATCACTCACTGAGTGGTATACTGATTCTCAAGAAGATTCATGTGGGCTGTGTAACAAATATATGGTTTAACTTTTTATATAAAAACGGTGATTTCGGTTCACTTCTCAGGGCTGTGGTTATTCCCCTGTGTGTTTTACACGTTTTTATTAGGGCTGTGGATTCACTGTACCACTAACTTTCAAGAGGACATCATATGCAAAATTCACTTTTTTTTCACTTGTTTGCATATAAATGTGCCTTAGCAGTGTGTGGACACAGCCACCCTACAATGATAAAAATCAATTCACTCTTTTTTTAATCACCAAAAAACCTAAACAGTCTCAATTGTCAAGCCGTTTTGATTTTCTGAGCAATATGACATCATACTGCTCAGGCCCCGCCTACGGCCGCTGATGGACTGTCCCGTATTAGCATATTTCCGCCCTCAGCCAGTTGTACACTGTCCGCCATTTACTCCACTCTCGAGCAGCTGTAGTCTTCATTTTCTCTCGACATCAGAGCCACTGAGGAAGCAGTGGATTCGTTTTGTTTTCGATGATAATGCGCCACCAAATACCCCAAAAAAACAGAAGAGAGGGTTGTGGTCAGCAGTCGCTCATTATCATTTAAAGTAGGGATGTTCATTTTAACCGGTTAACCGTTAAGCGGGCATAAGAATTTTGACCGATTAATACAATCAGTTCAACGGTTTAAAAAGTCATAATTTTTTTTTTTTTTTCCAGTAATTTATCAAAATATTGGCTTGCTGCATGGTTAAAATACACTACGCATATACATTTTTTTTGTTTTTTAGAGAAAAAAAAACAAGTTGCGTGTAAGTCGCATTTTATTATTTCAATCAGAAATAGGCCTGCTGAAGCGAAATGTTTACAAACATTATAATAAACACTGTAAACATAGCCTAGCTAGGCTATTTTAGTTCCCCTCACTCCACAAAAAAACCTTTCAATTAACAGTATTTAGAAAAGAACAAGAATTAAAAATATAAGAAGCTATAGCAATATAAACGACAAGCCAAAACGAATTAATTTAGGCTAAAACGAAACTGAAACCAACGTTGGGTCTCTTATTCGACATAAAATCAAATGTTTCCGTATTCGCGATGTATTTGAATGGCAAATTATTATTTATGTAGCCTACTTCACTCGCGTTCCAATATACACGTAAAACAAAATGTTTTGCATAACATCATGGCGGTACTGCGATAATACTTAATGGCACAGATTTTACTACATATTTAAACTGAGCAGTGTGGTTTTATTTCCATATGTTTGACTGACTGTATTTTATTATGATAATGAACAGGCTGCATTGTCAAGGTAGCAATGCTTAACTGTGTGTGCATGCGGCGCCGGCGCAATCACTTGAATTTTTTCCTTCTAACAGTGGAAGAAACTACTCCTTTTATTTCCTTTCGCGCAGCACAAAAATGAACCGAAACTCTGCATACTAGGCTACTTGTTACAGTTTTTTTTTTTCATTTTCTTAATTTATTAAGTAAAAATATATTTCTTGAATAGGCCTATTTATTCGTTATATATATATATATATATATATATAGCCTAGCTTTATTATGTTTTTCTCCGCTCGCAGAAGCACTGCAGGTGCGTGATGTGATATGATGACCATATGAATCCCATGTTCTGTTTTTTGCTGCTTTTTGCTCATGTAAAATTAATCCCCGGGAAACAAATGTTAGTATTTTTAACGGGTCACAGACATGTATCCTTTCTAATTTAATTAAATTCTAATTTAAAATAATCTTGTCGGTTAACGGTTAATAATCGGTTAACGAGCGTCGGTTGTCAGTTAGGAAAAATAACCGAAATGAACATCCCTAATTTAAAGAGACATGCACCGAAACGGCTCGCTGTGAACAGAGCTGTATTTGACAAGGTAAAATGGTGTTTTACACAACCATTGAGGAACCAAAGTATTTTGCAGATATTTCATGAAGACCCTAAAGAATCATACCAACTTGTGGAAAATGGGCATCTGATGTCCCCTTTAATGTATTTGTGCAGTGTGTAATACTTGAGTCTTCTTTGTTGAATCTTTAACTTCAATTATACATACGCCTTACCATCTCTCTCTCTCTCTCTCTCTCTCTTTTTTTATCACCCAGCCTGTGGAAAATGACAGGAGTGAATTTATTCCATCATCTTCAGTATCATCAGGTATGTGTAAATAGTAGAATACTACCATTCCTACTGTACACAACTGTCACCACAAATTGGACACAGTGTTATCAGAATGGGGCAAATGAGCATATGGTAATAATACACTGTACATTGCTAACAATAAATCTACAGTTTTAAAAAGTTTTAGAATTCTATAATTTTTCTAAACTGAAATCGTACATCAAAATTATACACAACAGAAAATATTATATCATGTAATTTATGTATATATATTAGGGCTGGGTAAAAAATATCGATATCTCGATTTTAATCGATTCTCATTTTTACGGAACAGTATCGATTCTTAAATCCCAAGAATCGATTAGTCTAGCCTGTTTTCAGTTAATGGATGGAACGTTGAAGGGCACTTCCCATCCAATATATCGCAATAAGCATTGTGCTTTGGTACTTTTAATATGAA